AAAAAAAAAAAAAAAAAAAAACAAGAAAAAACAAAAAAAAAAATTTGAGCAAAAAGAGAAACAGATAAAATGTACCGCTGCTGAATGCTTAGAAGTTCCGATTATACTAAAAGTAACAAAAGTTTTATTGCAAACTTTGCTTCTGCGCTAATCAATAAGTCGAAAAGAAAGAATTTAAATTTTCTAGTAGAAAACCCTAAATTAGATCATCGGTAACACTAAGTAAGTAAGAATAATTTACAAAATTTTGCATCTAAATTAATTTAAACTTTTGATTTGTTAAATTACAATGATTTATTGCAATTTTCATTGCTATTTTGGCTGTCATTTTGGTTACTTTCAGATACTGCAAACCAAAGTTCTCCCGTAAAAAAAAATCGAAAAATTTGTCGACGTAAAGCTTGCAGAGAAATAGCAAAAATTTTTGTAAGTACCTATAACGCCTTTGTTCTGTGTAAATGAGATTCAATAATAATGTTTAGCAGAGGAATCAAAAATGGGCTTGTAATGAGGTTGAAATTGTGTAGAATAACTGTTATCTATTCTTCTCTCTCATTAGCAAATGAATTTTCAACTTTCAGTCGTCCTCCATTAACGAATCAGTATCACCATGTGACGATTTCTACAAATTTATGTGTAGTGGTTGGATTGCTTCACATCCGATTCCGACTAAGCTGGGACGAATAAACACCTTACTGCAAGAGCAAATGATGGTTGCTAAGCAGATTCATTGTAAGCGCTGATAATTTAAGCTAAAGTTTTATTTCGCTTTACGTTTTGCTTGTATAGCACTCAAAATTATTTCTAAAATTAGCCAAAAAAAATTTGAACATTAAAAAGTCAAAAACGTTTCTGCTGTTATTTTTTGCTGTTTAGCCTTATTAGAATCTGAGCAACACGGTGAAACTAATCGACCGATGAAGTTTGCGAGACGATTTTATGCTTCTTGTACAAATTCGAGACAAAGAGACTACTTAAAATCGATGTTAGTTTTATATCAAAAAAAATGATTCTTTTTAATGACTGGTTTTTACAATACCGCCGACTAATAGTTGGTAAATTATCGAGTTGAAACTCAGTACCAAGCTCAGATTCAATTTTTTGCCGGCATAGTTTCTTTAAGCTCTTCCTGATTGTTTCTTCAAATAATTTTTTTCGCAGCAGTTTAATAATGGGTTATAAATTTATAGTGCAAAATAAAGTATTTTAGACCACTGTATAAAAAAATGAAACGTGTTGCTCACTGGCCTTTATTTGAACCTGATGTATGGCTTAAAGATCAATTTGATCTGACGCTTACTCTGAGTAGACTTATTCCACAGAATCATCTGCTGTTTTCTTATCGTGTTGAAGTTAACAGTCTTCGTGTCGATGAATATATCCCAATGGTTTCAACTTATTAACAAATTCTTTTCAAACCAATAAACTTTTGATAGCTTTTACTTAGATAAAAGGAATACCTAACCTAGTAACCAACATTTTTTTATTTGTGGCAAACGGACCTTCCTATGACTGAACGACATTACTATCTAAATGGGGAAAGATTCAGCAGACTTGCACAGAAGTACAAAATATTCATGAAGAATTACATTTTCTACATATTAAGTGATGCAAACATCACGGTTTCTGAACGCCATTTGGAAAAGACCGTGGAAGAAATTTTTAGTTTTGAAAAAAAACTGTCTATGGTAAGTTATATGTAAAAAATTTATGAAATAACTTAAAATATTTAACAATTTTCCTCAAGAACGATCAGTCAGAAACTCTCTGGTTTCCTTTCTACTGAAAATGTGCCAGTTTATCTCATAAAATCTTTTAAAACAACGCAAAAACTCGTTTTTTTTTCAGCTGTGAATGCAAATAGTGAGTAGGGACGAAACAAAAAAAAATTTCAATCACACTTTCTTCCTTATCATTCCCTACTAAGAAGAACTTTGCTGAAGCTTCCTTAATCTGCTGTTAACTTAATAGCTTTTTAACCTAATAGACAACGCAGTATACTGAAGGAAATTTCGAAAGCAGTATTTCATAACTGCATTGAAAAAATAAGTCACTGCGTTATTGCTGACATTAACCACTGACCAAAACAACAGTCTTCTGTCGAGTTTTTTTTTTTCTTTAAAGATAGCTTTCGATGGCAAGCACTTCGAAACCGGTTTGCAGTGCGATTTGTCTAATCTCAGGCACCTGGAAACCTTGGTTCCAAAAGTATTACTTTATTTCGCAAACTTATTCTGACTTTTAATTCTGCTCCAGATTGTCTAGGTCTTTGCAGTGCTTTAGGCATAGTTATTATTTTAAGTTTATGACGCTATTTTTTAATCTATATATTTCCCATGAAACTCAGTTTATTTTAAGGTATGTTGTCAAAGTTAAGTAGATGAAAATTATAGTGTCCATAACATAAGTGTTTTGAAACCGGCTGGTTATAATTGAAAGACTTCAGCTGTTTTACTCATGTTCTTAGAGTAATTTCTTAACATATCTTTGCCATCCCAAACTTAATAATACGGGAAAAGCAAATGCTTACTTCTTCTTAAAGAGAAAAGACTAGAAAGCATCTGAAAGAAAACAACAATTTCATGAATGCGTTTAGATAAACTGGACACAATTCTTCAAAGCTTTCAGTATGGAAAAGACGACAATACAGTCAGATTTTCCTGTTGCTTTGTGTACCAAGGAATATTTTCGCAATTTTGGCCAACTGCTGTCTAGGGAAAGAGCAGAAACAATAGCAAACGTTTTATTCTGGCATAACGTTTATAGTCGGTGGAATACACTTGATAGACGTCTACAGCAGTTAACGGCAGTAAGCCTCAAAATCCGGAAAAAGTTTTTTCGCTAAAAATATTATTCGATCGTTCAGAAAAAAGAAGACCGCACTTATATAAGTATAAATAAAAGTTTTTTTTTAAGAACTTTAAAAAACTTATAAGCGGAAGATCAATGAGTTATGACGTGGATGAAATGTGCACCTCGCTTACTGTTCAAATCTTCAACCATGCCGTTGCGTCCAGCTTCGTACGACATTTCGTTGATCCAGCTACTCGAAGAGAAGTCCAGGTCGTAAAAATAAAAAAAGTTTCTGTGTTATCAACGGCACCTGACAAATTTAAGGAACTGTTAATTCTTTTGTTTCAGAAGATTTCAAAAAATTTAGGAGACACATTAAGCACAATGAGTGCCAAGCTAAACTGGATGACAAATGCAGATAAGAATATCTTTTATAAAAAGGTTTGCAGAATATTATTGTTTACTCTTAAATTTTTCTGTATATCCTTCTAATTAAGCCTTTCAAAGTCTTTAATTGCTATAACACAAAAAATTTTCTTGTAATGATTTATAAAAACTTGATGGAGATATTTGAAACTTATAATTTAAAATTGCTTTTAAGTGTGTTTGATTGCTGAAAAATTTTAATTAAAAGTTTTTTACTCAGGTTCGCGCTATAGTTTATCACATTGGATATCCAGAAGATTTGTTGAACGAAACTGCCCTACTGGATCTCTATAAAACAGTATTAAATAATTTATTCTCTAAAATGTAGTAGAAAATTAAGTTTTAATTTAAATTTTTTATCAACTGAATAATGTTGTAAGTTTAAATCCAAAATGACTAACCGCAGTTTTTCTGTTCAAATTAGAGGTCAAGTGAAATGATTAACAGAACAAATTGATATCTCTGAGGGAAATTTTGGCAGCTGATCAGGAGCGAGCCGATTCATACGACACACATCGGCTGTATTACAGTCACTTACTAGTATGATCTACAAAACAAATTAATTTTTAGCAAAGAGTAATAATTGCTTAATCTAATAAGAGCAAAAGCTATACATTAGACATATTTTCGACAAACCACGGTTTGGTCTGTTAAGCAGTTCTATTGGACAACTACATTAGCAATAAGAAATGGGATTAGCAACTTTTTCATTATTCATTAGATTCGATTCTGCAATTGAAAGGGAATCTTTTTAACTTGCTTCTCTTTCCTTACCCTCTCTTCTGCTAAGGAGCAGGCACTCTTTTTACTTTCTCTACTTTTTGCTCTTAACTTCTTTCCTTTCATCACTCCTTTTTTCCTTCTTCAAAGAAAGTTTCTTGCGGATTGATGAGATAGCAAAGTAGACAGAAATTAATCAAAAATAAAGAGATTTTGAAGAGTATTGAATCATTGGCAGCGACGGTGTTATTCTTCACTATATGAAAGAAAAAACGGTGTTTTGGGGAGGTTCTGCTTAATGCTTCAAAAGTTTATTCTGTAAAGAAAGTATTCAGTGTATCATTATTACCTTCTAAGCTTTTTTAATTCTAAGTGAAAACTATTTTTTGGTTTTTTTGAAAGATAAATTTTTTTAAGTTTCAATAAACTGTCTTTAGGTTTCTTCTTTGTGTATCTCTTGATTCAACTTTCGGTAGAAGTGTTACTTGTCAACAAGTAGGTAGTAAACTGTTTACCAGTAGAAAGGTGAGGATTTGCAAAACTTTCTAAGAAGCGGTAGCAAATAGAAGAAGAAAAAATTTTTGCTGACAGCTCTCAGGATTTTCAACTTATGATAACAAACATGCAAAAAAAACTTTTGTAAAATAGTGGTGAATGTGGCGTTTTCGATAACAAAGTTGTGTTCTTCGACTGTTGGTATGGCACTTGAAGTGAGGAGCAAATTCAAGTCGCTAGAAATATTCATCAAAATCTCAATTGTATTAGTTTTAAACTTCTTTTGCCCTCAAAAAAAATTAAGTTTTATTACTTCTAAAAATGTTTCTCTTCTTTCTTAGCTGAACTATGTTTTCCCTTACCCGCCGCTTCGATCGCTTATTTACCGGTGCGTAGTCTTGCTCGAAACCCTCCTTCAAATGGTGTATCAACTGACAAGCACAAAGGATTTACGAGAGACTTTATTTAAAGAAAGAGTATTCAAATCAAAATAGAATGCCTGAAGATAATTTAAAACTTAAAGGCAAGGAGTATATGCAGCTTGTCAAACTGACAATCAGTCCCTGACAGAGCCAAAATAAATTCTAGATGAATTTCTCAAGAAAAGACAATAGTCAAACTTTAGCATAAGAAAGATCACTCAATCTTTTTACAATCTGACCTTAATTAACAAAGTACATACCCCTTGTACTCGATAAGGCGGAAGCATCATTATTCTACTGTCTCCAATTACAAATTGTAAACTCTAATTGTGAGCACCAACTTTCACTTAAATTTCTTCTCAACCACCTGGTGCTAGATGCTTCAATGATCACAGTTTTTTTCAAATTAATTGTCGCATTCGCGACAAATGGTTTTCATAGGAATAAGTGGAGAGAAACGCAAAAAAATTTTTTTACTGATAAGCTAAACCTTCTATTCAGCACTGGTCATGTTATAAATTAAAGTAATCCTTGTTAGAAGCCCGTGTTTCAGCTATTGTTTTTCACAAAGAACAATAATTTATCAGAACCATGAAACTACCACATTTCAGAACTCTCTGTTCTACCAAAAGAAAAAAGACAAATTATTAATCAAAGAATTTAGCAACGGCATGAAATTAGAAATTTTTTTTGAATTTACAAAAAGAATTCTTATCAGATTGAAGTGGCTTTTTCGAAATCAATTCAGGTACATCTTTTTTAATTGATTGTCAAAAAAAGAATTATTCTTATTTCCATTCTCTCCTCTTTGTAAAAGTTTGAATTCTTTGTCGTTTATTTATAACTTTATATGCATAACGAGAGTGTACTTTCTCAAGCAAAATGTTAATTTTTAGGTTTGTTCTCAAAGTGTTTCAACTTTATTTTTCAATGAGGCTTTAGCGCAAGGCTGTGAGACGAAAGAAATTTAGAAAAACAAATTTCTAGCAAAATTGAATCAATTTAGAAGCAAAGCGAAAAATGTATACATATATATATACATTCAAAAAACAGTTATAAATACATATTTAATCTTTAAAATAATATATAGATATAAGGTGTTAAGGTGAGCCAAAAAATCGCTCTTGTATGTGAATTAATTTGGCTTCAAATGAAAACAGAAATTTTTTTGAGTGATTTGGCCAAGCTATTTTTTGGAAAATTTTAGTCACATATGCCTTAATAAGAAAGACGCTGTAACATTTGTAAACAAAGACTCATATAATGGTTAAGACTGAAACAACAAACAGTGCAGTGCTTTTCTTTCATTTATTATTCTTAAAGTAAATCTGAACTTTGAATCAACGCAGCTGCAACTTGACCCAAAGAAGCCAATGTACGAAGTGCTGACAGAAATTGAAAATTGGTTATCCATAAAGCACCGGAAGCTTTTGAAAGAGAATCCTCTACGACGAACTTCATTCACCGAAACTTTGAAAGTCATCGACGTCAATGCATACTATCGGCCTGAAAGAAATCTTTTAGGCAAGGTGCTTCTTTTTTACTATAGGAAAAACGAAGCAGAAAGAATTCTTTTTTTTTTTTTGTCAAAAGTACACATCAAGTTTTGAAAAAAACTGACTGAAAAATTTTTTTCAAATAATAGCGTGAAATTGGTCTAGGTGAAAATCATTACTAAATTAGTTCTGGAGTGAACGTTGCTTTGCTAAAAATTGAAAGTAATATTACAGAACTAAACGTTTTTGGTTTGATTCCAGTAAATGCAGCTGCTTATTCCAAATGGGTTTCTCTCTATAACTTAACTTTAATCTGCAGAAGCAAAGATTGTGTACGTCTAGCGCTTTTTAATAAGCACTTTGCATGTTTTGCTGTTGTAGATTTATCTGTGAATTTTTTGAAATATTTTCGGAATTCTCCGTTTTCCTTGTCAAAGTTTCATACCGTTGTAAAAATAGAAGACTTTTTTGTTGCAGGTATTTTAAGAAGCCAAACATACTCAACTCTGTGCTCTAATAATTCGTTGAAAACTTTTAAGAAAATCTTTTCTGCGAAAAAATTGAAGAAACTTGCTTGTCTTGCAGATCCTTTGTTTGAGCGTAGCAAATACCTAAATTCTGAAAAATTTGTGCGTAATTACGATACAGAAGTACTGTACACTATGCTAAATTACGACGTTTTGAACAAAGCACATAAATGTGTTTTAGAACGTGCCTTTCGCAACAACGATAAGTATTTTTCAAGGATTCAGCTGCGTGTTTATAAAATAATAATCAATTATAAGTAAAAAAATCTTGAGTCTATTCACAAGATACCCGAGCAGTTAAATCTCTCAATATATCTCAGAATGTTCCATTAAAAAGTAATGCAGACGTAAAAAATTTTTTTTTACCTAACCTTGCCAGAAATACTTTGAAAAAAGCAAATTTTGGAGGTACGCGCAATCATAGACACCTCTTATAATTTTTTAATTGTAGAAGTTGGAGCAGGGATTCTAAGAAAACCTTTCGCGGACAAGGATTTCCCGAGGTTAATCAACGAACCTTTGAAAATTGTTTATGTTCAATAAATTATATTGGACGCTGAAGATTTTCAGGTCTTTAAACTACGGATCTCTAGGATTTGTAATTGCTCACGAAATGACGCATGCTTTTGATCAAATAGGTAACAGTCAATTTAACTTTCTTGTTAGCTGTAACTTATTTTTAAATGAGCAAAATCCTCTTTACTGGATGAAAGAGACTTTGATATGTTATGGAAGTTCGACTCTCAAGCGAGTTATGCTGAGAGAAGAATTGAGAAATGGTTTTAAAAAACTTTTTTAAAAGAGATAATGCAAAGAGGTTGAATGAGTTTATTTTTCCAATACATTCCAAGGTAACGGTGCCTAATCTTGCTTCTGAACTCACGGTGTGGCTTAAATAATCGTCCTCTAGTGGGAAATTGAGCTTGTATGACCTTACAAAAGTTATTTAGTGTTTGAATGTAGGATTGCTTGAGAACCTTAATTGCTGCCGACTGCTTCATCTGGACTTTTCATTCAAGGTTATCAAGTGTCTTCTGTTTACTAGAGTTGCCATCTGAATGGGTATTTGATGATGCAAGTCCAAAAATGAAGCGGTGTTGGTTTAGTGAGCTATTTTCGCATTCTGAGTAGTATTTTTGCTAGCTTGCAAGCCGCTTTTCCAATGAAAACAGAAGCTTATTATTGGGGTTCTCAGTAGTTCAGTACGAAAAAGTTCAGTGCAGAAAAAAAAAGGGAAAAAGAAACAATTTGGAGAAGGTACGTCTATGTAAAGAAGCGTAAGGATGTCTGGAATAGAAACCAATTTACAAAAAATACTCTATTAACCACACCCTTCCTTGACTGTCAAGCTTTGCCGACAGACGGCAGGTAAATACCAAGTGTGCTAACCTCCTCAAAAATTTTCCAATTTTCAAGGTTTCTGATTTAAAAGTTCATTAATTTTACTGAATCTTTTGGTTCTGTTGAGGATTCACTGGGACTAGCTCTTATCCCAAATTTTATTCTTTTTGAAATGACTGATAGGCAGCAAATCGATCTGGTCAAGGAGAAATTTGACTTTTGAGCTTTTCTTAATCTTTTACAAAAGTTTGTTGTTAATCAGATAATTGTCGGGTAACAGCGTTCCTTCAAAAAAATTTGTGGCGTTATTTTTGCTAAATAAAGCAATTGACTTCACCAGTAAAGGGACAATTATAACATTTTAAACTTGGTCGGGTAGAAATAAATGAAAAGGGACCGTCTGGAAACAACAACAGAAAAGAAAGGCGCAATTAAATCTTTCCCAGCAAGATTCTGAGGACAGTAGAAATTGTTTCTGAGATTTGGCCCCTAAATCTTCCCTAAACCCACAACTTCATCATAGTACAACAACTGCCACTGTTTACGATTAAGGTAAAAATTTTGGTGAACATGGAGAAATACGTGACTGGTGGAGCAAGCAAACCTCTGCGATGTTCGACAGTCGACTAAGCTGTTTCACTAAACTATTCAGCAACAAAGGAATAAAGTTAAACGTTACGGTGAAAACTAGTTCGATATATATTTTACATATGAATCAAACTGATACATCCATTCCTCAAGTCGATTACGATTCCAAGAAATAGACTGTGCGTTCTAGAAATGCAGATAAACTGCTTCGGAGTTTCCTAACAATCGTTTTTTTCAGAACAATGACGAAATGATTGTCAATGAGGCCGTTGCTGATCACGGAGGTTTAAAGTTAGCCTTTCAGGTTCGTGCAAGCACCGTGAAGAAATGTTCTATCATTATCCAAACGGCCAGTACTGTTAGCAACAGTTATAATATTATTTTGCTGTAGTGGGAATATTATGTTGCTGTAGTGGGAATCTGTATTGTTATTGTCGTTTGCAGGCGTACAAAGAAAGTAACGGAAATGACAGTGAAGAAAGTTCAGTCTTACCAGGCCTAGAAAAATATGATCCGGATCAAACTTTTTTTTTAGCTGCCGGATACGTAAGTCAATATTTATATCTTAGTAGCAGTCAATATGGCTTCCAATTTTAACTCAAGCTAATTTTCCTTTTACTAAGAATAAACAGCTCTGCAAATTATGATAAATCTTGATTGTCAACCAAATCAATTCAACTCAAAACCTTGATCAAGATAAAATAGTAATTCAAACTCAAAACACTTTGAACTTCATCGGGTGGAAATTATTTGACTATGAACAGCCTATCAATTAATCACGGCCAATCCATAAATCTCTGTTAATTCTTGAAAAAGCACTAAAACTTAAAAAAGGATCAAGTTTTCGTGCACAGATTATGGATTCCTCTGACCAACGCATCTAACCCTATTTTCTTCTACCGCTTTGCAGTTTACTAATGAGCGTACATAAAATAAAAGACTATGAAGGGCTAAATTGGAGAGGTACTTACAAAATATTTCTTTCTTTGTTATCTCTTTCTGTGGTGGAAAACTAATGATGGCAAACACAGAAAACTTCTTCAGACACTGTGCGGTCATGACGCATCGGAAGCCTTAGCAGTACGACGATTCAGTGACCCTCACCCAATATCAAGTCTTCGTCTCAACGTACTGATGTCAAATAATCCTAACTTTAACAAAGCGTTTAAATGTTATCAGAAACATGTACTAAACAATGAGCTAAAGTGTGCTGTTTGGTGATAACAATCAAGATTTAAGCGTAAAAAGCAGAAATTTCACTGCTTTGATTTGCCGACAACAAACGCTCTAATCCAGTCCTTAATAAACCTAATACACCAGCGCAAATTTTAACTCCTTCTACAGTCATTTCTTATCTGTACTTTCAATACAAAGAGGGAACTAGCACCCTTTGCGTCTTAGTTAAATTGTACTAATTCATGTACCACTGTAGTTGTACATGGAGAAATGAGTCCAAAGCTTCTTTATGAGGACTTTGCGAAGCATCATCTGAAAGAAGCCATTTTCAAATACTATCAAAACTAAATTTGTTTTGACCTAGGCGAAACGATAATCATCAGAAATAAGGAAATTTAAAAATACTGGCCTTTGAGAGTTTCAAAACAGTAGTCGCTTGAAAAAATCTTCTGTGGAAGGTATGATAAGGAACCATCTTTTTACTTTTTTTTTTTGATGCTAGGGAAAGCTTGAGCCTTGCTGAAAAGTCGGATTTACTCGCCTACTTCACGAAATTGCTTTACCCACCTTGGAGAAATATTTGGAGATTATTGGAAATAAACTTTGATCTGCCCCTGAAGCCCTTGTAGAATAGATGAAAGCCTGTATCAACAGGCACCAACTTATTTTGGTTAGTCTTCTCATCTAAATAGTTAGACGGCTTCCAATTTCTTTTCAAATACTGGTTTTTGCTTCAAGCATGATTTGCTTTTGAGTCTTTTTAGTAGTGACTTGGCTAGTAAAGTAATGTAGAAGTGCTTTCTATACTACATCTAATATTGGTAAGAGAGACGAGGGAAGTATTCTTAAGGGTCTTCACCTGATTTACTGGAGGGGGCTTGTATGAGGAGCTAATAAATCATCTTATCGTAAATAACACCCGTCAATTCATGCAGACATATCAAAATTAGCTGAAATGATCGCCACCGGTACAAAAAATACGCGCTATTAACTGCCCAATTTTTTAAAAGTTGTACGAACTTCAGTATATACAACCATGATCGATAATACAGAGTCCCAGTACTCCTTAAATCAAAACCGTTTTAACGCCTTTTGTTTGAACGGTTTTGCTGTGGACAGTACTTAACCCGTTGTTTAGCAAATTTCGCTGATATGATTCTGTATAAAACCAAATTACTTTTGTGTCTAAGGAATTGGTTTGACAAAACAGCAAAATGTTCCACCACTAAAACTCTTCTAAATATGGACTTCGCTTCTGCAGTAGATAATAAACTTCAAGTAGCAAACCACCAGAAGCAAATGTCACAGTAAATCAATCTCATCCACGACTCACCAGTGTCACGAAACCCCTCACCCCCCCAGTTAAAAAGAAGGAAACAGTAGAAGAAAAATCATTTGCTAAAGAAACGTGCTTACTCAACTTCCCACTCTTTCTTGGGCCACCAAAATAACCCCTTCCGTTAGTGGTATCAGCACACACACTCCACTGTCCAAACAGTATATGAAAAAAGTATGTCACATCAACTGCAACGTGAACGCCCCGACATAGGAAAACTCATAAACACCTTCACAGTAAGCCATTTCTACACGACAATGGAGAGTAATGATTTCCGTTCCTCCGAATGGAGCATTTTTATTTTCCTTAATGTAACTCGAAATCAGCAGCAAGCTCTCAGCCGTCAATTCACCACCATTGGCCAGGCCTAGTTGTATAATATTATAATTTCCAAATATAAATCACCTTAAATGAAATGCTGAACAGGAATTTGCTACAATTATAACACAAAAAATTTATATGAAAGTGCAGTTCTCAATTAACTCCACCAAAAAACATTCCGAAAGGCAATAAATTAGAATTGAAACGATTTAAACCACAGTATAAAACGACGAATTCTTGACGCAACAACATGTTTTTAATAACAAAACTCTTAAGAGATTTCAAACTCAGGCAAACCATTCCTATGTTTTGAAAGAAATTCAAGTTCATTTCACTTGCTTAATAAGTAATATAGGAGATATGTATAATAGGTAAAAATACACTTTAGAACTGTTTTAGGCATAAACAAATGATAATCCCACCACCACAGTGAGCAGAAATCACAACAAATGCTCGAATTAAAATGAGTTTCCCTCAGACATCTACGGCGTCTGCAAAAAAAAAAAAAAAATAAAAAAAATAAAAAATAAAAATAAAAAAAATAAAAGTTTGGTCCCCGAAGTTCTAAGAAAGAATTACGCTGGGTAGGAGAAGAAATAAGTGATGGTAACAAACTACCAACCAACACAGTGATGGACAAAAAAAAAGACCAATTCTTAAAATAGGCAAAGGTGCGCTGAAGTCCTCTGAATATAAAGAACAAAATAAGTTATAAAAACCAGAGGATTATTGGTTGAAATTATTGCAATGATTCAATTCGAAAACCAGCCGGGTCTTACCTAAACGGAAATTATAGAAGTTTTCAAGAACCGCATAAATATATTTACTTTCTGCACCTTAAGGTATTGCACAACAAAGGTTTCTGAATGCGACTATTCAATTAAGCAGTCTTATAAACACCATAAGATTTCATTTCTGACTGAAATGGTCCGTAAACTTGCCTAAGATTTCGCAGCATTGCTAGAAAACAAATTGGCGGCAGCCATTTCGAGATCATTTCCGCACTGGATCAGCATTGAACGAGCAGCCTCCTCTTCAAACCCTAGTGCGATCAAAGAAGCCAACTTTGCGCTGTCCACAACAACTGCAACTTTCCCGGTTCAACACACTAAACCTCATGTTGCACAAGCGTCAACAATCATGATAGGTGGCTAAAGAATACCTTTTCAAAAAATAAACCTGGAATGCTAAATCACCTGTTTCCGAGGACTCTCCCGTCGTAGGGTCCCTCTTCGGTATTTCCGCATCCCCAAGAAAAGGAGTAGAAGCTGAATCGCCAAATCTAAATTAGCAACGTGTACGAGCAAAAGAATTATATCATCACTTAAATTCTGAATTTAGTTCAACCAGTTCTGAAAATTTCTAATCATTAAAACCAAAAACAAAAAGAAAAACAAAAGTGCTTGAGAAACAAACCATTCCCACCAGAAAAAAACAGAAGATTAAATGTTTTGACATAGAACGTGAGTGCAACAAGCGTCAACTTCACTTATTTCAAATTGTTAACGAGAACTGGAGAAGTAAAAAATAATAAACTGATGAATGGAGTCAGGCGGAAAACAACGTACTTCAAGCAATTGTTCTTTAAGTCGATTGTACACTGATGCCGTCGCAATATATCCAAACCAAGAAGGATATCAATAGAATGGTCAGATAAAACATCAAAATTACATGTGAAAAATTGATTTTCAATCTGAACTTGGCCTGAAATATCGGAGGGAAATGAACCAAATCAATGACTAGTTAAACCACAAAAAAATAAGAAAATCTTTTAGATACACTTAGAAACAAGTCTCCAACATTTGCAAAAAATGCATTTAAATTAGCAGCATTGTTTCCTCTTTCACTTTTATCTTTTATCAAGGTTTGTCAAGAATTACTTATTTAACTTTCAAGATACTGAAGAGAATGTGCTCATAAAGATGACCACTTAATTGATTTAAAAAACATTAATTTTCCTAGAATGCTTCGCTCATTCGTCACAATGTTATCATTCCATCAATATTTTTGTAACGAGTTTTCATCATGAATGCAACAAGAAAATCTAAGAATCTCCAAACAAAAAGCCACAGTGACGAACCCAATTTCAAACTGTCCACTAGGTCCAAAAAAACGTTACTATTCACAAAAGCACAAACATTCAGGAATAAAAATTTTATAAAAAGCATAACAGTAGTGTCAAAATAGATTATCCTACTAACTTACAGACGAACGTTCCATATGCTGCCCTGCATCTTAGAAGAAGATTACAACAACTTAAAAAGCAATTAAGTAACAATTCTGCAAAATAAAATATATTTAGGATTTGCTTAAACTTCACAAGTATGAATCTTCCCCAGCATCTTCTTCATACCACCAACACCGTGCACTGTAGCTTGAAACCTTTTATCTACTAAACGCATCAAATTACACCTCTGCGCAGTAGCTTCAGAAAGGATCGACACTTGAGCGCCTGTAACTCACTGTATTTTATAACAATTTTCCTGGTTAAACAATAATCTCTCAGTGTTACCACTCATAAACAAACAAACAGCGGATCAATTGTGATAAACTGAAGTCTTATTGAACCTTTTCCATTGAAAAACGTACACTTTCATTTATACTTAATTTCAACACTGTATATGAATTCTAGCAAATAAATCCTGAAAAGGTTCTTTAAGTAATTACCGGAATCTACAAAGGCTTTGCACTCGACCCCGTTAATTTTCATTCGAATATAAAGCATTGTCACAGGGATATACGCCTCTGGCATGTGTTCCATGGCAAACTGATGGGAAAAATCAATGTTCTCCCTCTCAATTTGCTCCGCAATCATTCGTTGACCCTCAGCACTTGTAGGATCCAGCATTACCCGTCTGCGACTTATTTCGTTTTCACGCTCGGTCACGTAGAGACGGCAAAATAAATCTGAAAGATGAGCTGAGGCATGTTGAAAATTAAGAAATACTTCTTTTCAAAACTGAAATGAATAGGTGAGGAAGTAATTAAAAAAATCTGTAGTTCCTTATAATCTTCAAATTTAAAAAACACACCAAAATTATCTTTCTCCACAGCGTCAGCGAGAGCAGGTGAGAAATTTCGAAATATACTGCGTTTCAAAGCGTCGGCTTTTAAAATACTGAAATTCGACCGCAACTGAAAAGGAAAGAACGCTTAACTTCTTACAAAATTATGTGCCTACCAACCTCCATAGCGTTCACAGCTACTTTCAATGACGCTATATACCCCTACCCAATTTTAACACAGATTATCAGACATTCTCCACCATTCTTCGTTAGCAGCATTTTCAGTTTTGAAAATAAGCTTTATGAGCATAACAGACTTCCCGCGTCGAACCAATTAGATGAAAGAATAGTTCACCTTTATTGTATATGTAAGCTTACAATAATCTCACTCCCAACATATAAAGCGACTTCAGACCTAGCCAGAAGTGAGATAGTTGATGTAACGACACAAGTGGAACGACTAAGGACAAATTTCTGCTTCGATTACAATATAATGAAATTCCAAATGCAAAATGAACTCATTTTGCAAGTGTGTTCCTATAGTTTTTGAAAAGAATATAATTTAAAAATTTTCGTCTGCAGCAATAAGAATAGTAATGGCTGCCAACTTTTGAAATAGAATTTTTCAAAATATACAGGGTCATTTCAATTCAAACTGCACATCTTTTTCGTCTAATACTGCAAGTTGAAAATTTTAATGACTAGATGGCCATGAACGAATTTATAAAACCGTTGAGGCTCTGGTAACACCAATTCCCCACCAACTTATACCCAACCAAATTCAGTTTCTTGCTTTTTAAAAACTATGCAATTTTGCCACTTATGCAAAAACCTAGCTAATTTCTGATCCAACTGAAAGCTTGCTCTTCCTCAATCAAGAATAACGTCGATCTGACACACTTCTCAACAATGAACCACACGAGCAGCAAAATCAGTGGATATTAGCCTAGATACAAAATTTCATTCAAAGTTACCAAATCTGAACTTACTTAAGCACTTGCAATAGCTTATCGCACTGAGACTTCGGAACTTTATTTTTACAAACAGCAAAAG